GGTGCGCGGGACTTGCCGCGAACAGATCGGCATGACGCACGCGCCGTGGTTTCTACCACAACCGCGCGACGCATATGATTTGTCAACAATGTCGCGCCCTCCACGAGCGGACCGGGCCCTCCACTTTGAGACGTGTGCAATAAAACGCCATCAAAACATAATGCGAGTGGACGAGGGGGGAAGCAACCAGAAGAGGTCGCGCGAAAGGTGGACAACAAATGAACAATGCTCACAAAAAAATCACACGCGCAAGCGCCCAACGAAACAAACTTATAGACACTCCAAAAATTTGGCGTGCCGCGAAGAAGGGAAAAGGGGCGGGGGGGCCGCGTGCCCACGAGGAACAAACTTAACGGCATGGTAATCGCTACTGGACACGCCGTCACGCAGAGCCGCTCTGACAACACACACGCACACGGGCGCATCATCGCGCAAAAGCGGCCGAACCACGCCGCGCGAAGCATCGCTGCGCCAAGGCAATCCGACCATGCAAAACACGCGCAAATTGCATCCGAAAAGAGCGTTACGCGCCGCGCAAAAAAAATGGCGCGGTGCCGCGACAATCAGGCGGCTACGAATGTAAACTCCTCTGAACTGCGCGCACGCGCGTCGTGTTAAACAGGCCGCGCCGCGCAGGCACGCCACTCGGTCTCGCGCCAGCGCGTCGAAGGGAAGGTCTGCGGGAGACGCTCTGCAAGTGGCAATGAAGCAACCCCACGAGAACGCGATGCATGTGAAATCGAAGCACGTGCCAACAGTAACCGCGACAACAGAACAACCGACAAACAATCATTTTAAAGAAACATCCATAACTTCCGGTTGCGGTGGTTTCTTGCGCGGTCAACCAGCAGCGAATACGACACCGCAGCCGCCGACATCACCACTACTACCCATTGCTGAGCAACCCGGTTCAGCATCAGCCCCGTCAGGCACAGCCGTAGCCCCTCAGACGGAACCTGCGACACCACAGACGCGACATCCAGCATCGACCTCACCATCGACTAGGACACCACCAGCGTCTCCGGCACCGACCATTCAGTATCCCGAGGGTCAGACATCACCAGCGGAAACCATGAGGTTTCCCGATGAATAACCAACTCTTGACGCCACACGCGAGTATCCAAAGACGATCCAGATGCACGATCACCGACGGACGTGAAAGGCACCAAGGTCAAAGGAATACCATCTGGAGCGAGCTCACCGGCAACCAAGATCATGAAGACCGACGACGACAATCCAGGAACAGCTCCAGCAGACGGCCGTGGTTCCCCGATTTTACCGACGAGATCGACAGGCTCTGGAGATCCGATTGACGACATGATCAGCCATAAGCAAGGCGAACAGTCACCCATCATCAAGGACCAGTCGTCTTCACCACCGATGCTCACCGAGACCAAGCGGCCCAAGCTCCTGGAAGACTACCACGCTGTTCTCAAGCAGCAGGTCACCTTCGACGACTTCAGGACGCACTATCTGCACGCACCTGACCTGGAGGAGCACGAGATCGACGAGTACCAAACCCTGATGGCGGAGATGACGAGCGAGATATCGGCTAACCTGCACATGATGGACCAACAGACATTATCCTGGAAACCTTCTGAGGCACATTGGGTCATCCCGGGTCCATTGCGAGGCGATATACGCGCAGAGTGACGACGTGCTGACAGAGGCTGAGATATACGAGCACTGGAGTCCCGTCGACAAACCTGATCAACCAGAAGCCCGGTCTTTCATAGACAACCAGTGTTTTCGCGCAATACATGGCAACAACCTCGACAGCGGCAACATAATAGATGCGGTGTGGGTACGGAGATGGAGAAATATGTACGACGACAACAATCAGCTGTACTACATGATCAAATCACGACTCTGTGGCCGCGGATCTCTAGATTCACAGAAACCTGATGTTATGCGACACAGCAGCACGGCATCAAGGCTGTCACAGCGGATGGTGGCTTCTCTTTTCAGCATCGAGAAGGAGATGGATATAGAGTCCTGGGATGTATCGACAGTTTTCTTGCAGGGCTTGAACTACCAGGACCTTAAGAAGATTGGCATCGAGATCCGCCCAGCTGAACGCGGCCCAGCTGAAGACCAGGACCACCTGAACGCGGCCCAGCTTGGCATCGAGATCCGGCAAGAGCGGAAGGTGTACATGAAACCACTATCGAACGTCTGGCGCCACTTTCGGAACTACGACCGATCGACGACACACATCAGTGACAGTGAAGCTCCGTTCTTCTACTTCATGTTACTGAAACCGATATACGGCACCGTGGACGCACCATTGCTATGGCAGTTGGCGCTCAGTATGTTCATCAAGAATGACCTTCAGGGAGTTCAGAGCGTGTTCCACGACAACTTCTTCATGTGGGTCGAGGACGGCAAGATCAAGATGATCTGGACGGTGCACGTGGACGACATCATTGTTCTGGCGCTGAAGGAATGAATGGATGCAGTGGGCACAGCAGAAGACAGAACGGCGATTTGGCAAAGTGAAACGACACACCTTACCCTTCACCCACATGGGAACGACGTATGATCTCATAGGAAAGCGACACCTTCTGATTCATCAAGGTATGCTCGTCGATGGTCTGAACAAAGCTGTCATGACAAAGGATCGGCAAATTCAGATCACGGATGAGGTCCATCAGTTACGGAGTGGTATATGTTCCCTGCTGTGGTTATGCCAGACGCGAGAGGGCATCCAATGTGACACGGTTCAGCTCCAGCAGTACGTGAAAAACGCGCGAGTGGAACACCTTATCCAACTGAACACCTTCATAAGACGAGCACATCGTAACCGGCACCTTGCAGGACTACACTTTCCTGAGTTGGAACCTCCCTTTCGACTGGCATCTGTGGCGGACGCGAGTCATGGGAATTCACTGACATCATATCCTCAGCAGGGCAGTGCTGTTCTTTTGATGGAAGATAAGATGGACAGGATTAGATATGATAAGAAAGATGAGGCCGATATCAACGACGAGCACTACTTTGGAAGACCCTGCAACAAGATGGTCATCCAGAGCTGCAAGGCCAAGGGGATCAGCCACAGTACGGGCCACGCGGAGACGAATGCAGGCTAAAAAGTCAACCAGTACGCTCAGTTCATCAGCATGAGATTCACGGAGCTCTTGAGGAGTTTGCAGTATCAGCACAAGCTTCGAGATGTTCTGGAATACTTCGATTCGGGTGAGATGGAGATAGTGACCGATCATTACACAGATTGCTTGGACTTCTGGCAACTGTGCTGCGGAGTGAAGGGAGTACCGAGTGACAAGAATAGCCGACTCTCCATCCAGTCTATTCGAGAAGAAAGGTTGACTGGACGTATCAGATTTTTCATCCACTGTCCGACTCATAGTATGATATGTGACGCGCTCACGAAGACTGGCATCTTCCATCAGATCATGAGATTGGTGAGCACAGGAGTCTGGACGATCAACAGCATCAACGGCAAGCAGTTCACAGCCAGGAAGGTAAAGCACAAGAGGGCGGAGTACACAGCACGAGATCTACTTAGACTGGAGGCCTGACTTTGCCTGCCGCCTCCGCTTTCGCCGGCTGCCCTCTCCTCTTTGCTCGATTAATGTATCGTGCAGGCGTGAGTATAACAATATGCATGCGAAGACATATACACATACAGGGGTTAGGACTGCTACTCAGAACTTTAATTATACCCAATAATTATCCCTGAAATGTATCAGAGCATAAAATTCGGAAACACAAACCGGAACGAAGATTCGGATTCAGTGCGAGTAGGGTCAAAGACAGATGTGTAGCATGATCCGGCACCACCGGCTCAAGGATAACAAGAATCTCTGCTGTTTTCGAGGGGGAGGAGGGGGAGGGGGGGGGGGATTAGGGGAGGGGGGGTTGTCGGGGGAGGGGGGGTCGGGGGGGTCCAGCAGGGGGGGGGGTTCGGAGGGGGGGGGACCCCCGGGTTCCGGAGGAAGAGGGGGGGGGGGAATTTTCCATAGTAAAGCGGCGGTGGATCACGCTCTCTCAAATACGTACGTAACTAAATATGGTGTAATCCATGTGGTGCAAACTATGTGGCGCAAGGCATCGCACAGCAATGCCAAGCAATGCCACGCAATGCAAAGCAATTCAAACCAACGCCATGCAAAGCAACGAAGGGCAATGCAGGGCAATGCGAAGCAATGCAAAACAGTGAAAAGCAGTGGAAAGCAATGCAATGCGAAGTAATGCAAAGCAATGTGAAGCAATGTGAAGAAATACAAAACGGGCGGTGACGAGGCGGCGGGCGGCGACGAGGCGACGGCGGCCAAATGGCGGCCAGAGCGGCCCGCAGGCCCAAACGACGGGCGATGGCGGGCGGCGACGAGGCGGCTGCGGGCGGCCACATGGCGGCTGGAGGGGCCGGCAGGCCCAGTTTCGTAGAAGATGAGAAAGCACGGCTGGTGCAGTAAACTCTTGTCAGAACGACGACAATTGCCGAATACCCCCAACAAAAACAATTGGGAAAGTAACTGTCGAGAGGTCTGGCCACAGGAGTCAGAAAATTGCCGGCCAAACATAGTCGGGAGAGCCCGCACGGGTCGGGATAGCCAAATAAAACTACTGCCAAGGATGTTCGAACATGTTGATGAATGGTATTTCCGGCGGCCCATAAAATGGAAAACGATGGGAAGGCAGAAGTCGAACGTTGCCCTCGTGGATGCGATGTTGCTGGTCTTCGCGAGCTGATATCACCGAGGAGGACGTGCGAGAAGGAGGGAGGGACGAGGAGAGGGAGGGGGACGAGGGAGGAATGAGGAGGGAGAAGGATGGAGGGGGCGGAGAGGGACGATGAGGGATGTGGATGGAACGGAGGGGTAGAGAAGAAGAAGGAAGGATGTGGGGGCGGAGGGAGGAGGAAGTCAGGAGCCAGGAGTCAGGAGGAAGAGCAGGAGGAGTAGGAGGAAGAGAAGGAGGAGGATGAGGAGGAGGAGGAGCCAGCCCCCCACCAAGGAATGGGCGTCTTTGGGGGGCGCCTCACCACGGAGACGACGAGACGCAGCCCGAGGTACACCAGCAGGAAGAGCCTCGCGTCCGCGCTGCGCAAACACCCCTCCTCGTTCACGGGGGGGGGCTACGGTCTGGAACTCTTGCTTACGGTGTCGCGGCGGCGGCCCCAACGACTCGATACGCCATGTAAGCGGAATGCGTGTCGCTCCCCTCTGCGGGAGGAAAGGCTGGGAATGGCTCGGGACCTTGACGCTTGGGAATTGGGGAGTGGTCGCCGTGTCGCGTCGAAGCGTGGTGGGCCCAAACCCGGCGGCGCGACGCACTAAGCCAAAGTTCCTGACCGTGCCTCTCGAGGCCACGCCTGGACACGGACCTCTGGAGACTAGAGCAAGTCAAGCCTGGAGACTCTGTAGTACCCATCAATCGGAAGAAGCGGGCAGCAGCATGGAGGGGGAGTGCGCTGCAAGTAGAGTGGGCTCCCGCCTGCCCCCTGAAGAGGATGGAAGATGAAAGCCCATCGGCTGATGAAATAGGAAAGGCCTGACGAACATTGGAATCTTGGGATCATCAATTACATAGTTTCATCGGCCGATGGGTCATCAAATCGTTGGTGGAGCTCCTGATGGGGCAGGATCCGTGCGATGGGTATGCAGAAATAGGTCAGAGACCGCGTGCGAGCACGCCCAGATGGAGCTCCCCGCGCGGCACGGTCCCAACGAGGGGTGCAGACAGCGCAGCCATGTCGGCAACGCCAGATCAGCAGCAGCATGCAGCAAGCAGCGCAACAGCAGCAGCGACAGGAACGGGTTGCGGGAGGCAGAAGAGGAAGGAGACGAGGGCCCAACAGCATGGGAAGGTTGGAAACAAAACACGAAGCGCCTTTTCCCCCTCATCGACGGGCTCGCTTCCGGGCCTCCTGGGACCACCAGAAGCATGCCCACGACGGGCAGCTGGACCCCGGGGATTCCAGGCCGCGGTGGGAAACGGAAGTCATCGGGGGCCTCCGCAGGTCTCTGGCTAAGGCCTCCAAAGGTGGCCGCAGGAGCCCCCCGCCTCCTGACGCCCAAACGTTGCCCAAGAGAGGCATCCGCAACAGAAAATCCGCAAGCACAAAGCTTCGAGGACCGAAGGAGAAGGGGGCCCGCGTCGTGTCGTGGGTAGGCGGTGTGTGGCGCCAGGGGGGGGGCACCCTAAGACGGCAAGGGGGCTTCTTGGAAACAATGCCACCTTCGGAGGAAACCCTCCTGGGAACCTTCGGCCAGTTCTACTATGAAGCAACCTGCCTCGAAAGGCCACAGATTTACCCAGGTCCAGCGTTTCGACCCGAATGCCGATTGAGGCCCCAGTAGGCTGAACACGCCGCCGAACAAGCATCAGATCAATTTCCTCCAGGAGACGCCTTTTCTTCATGACCGTGGCGGGAATCACCAGACGGAGTTGTCATGCGGCGAGGTCTGACCAGCATTTCCATGGCAATCAATTCGCTAGGGACTTTGACCCTGTCCCCGGGGCCGGCATTTCATCCCGAGTCGTTGTTTCACGGTCCAGGGGCTTGGAGACGGCCTCCAAAAAAGACCGAACACGACGAACAAAACGGCCGTCACTATGTTTGAGGCATCGCCCGGATGTGAGGGCCCACCGTGCCGAACAATCCGAGAAGAAAATGTTGCCAGTCGCCTGCGTCTGGAAACAGATGCGGCCGAGCCCTCCCCTCGGTCCCCCTCCTTTCTGGGAGGAATATGATGACGATGAGGTCGCAGAGAAGGACGAGGAGAAGAGAGGGGAGGAAGAGGGAGCATGCAGGGGGATGGAGGGGATCGAGAGAGGAGCGAGGGAGGAGCGAGAAGCAAGGAGGAGGCGGATCGAGGGAGGAGGATTGAGGAGGAAATGGAGGAGGAGGATTGAGGAGGAAATGGAGGAGGAGGATGGAGGAGGAAATGGAGGAGGATTGAGGAGGAGGAGGAGGAGGAGAGGAAGGATTGAGGAGGAGGAGGTGGAGGAGGAGGAAGAGGAAGAGGATCGGAGGATGGGGCGCGGCGCGCGGGGCGTGGGGCACATGGCGCTGCGGAGGACGTCAGGGCTCGACCCTTCGTCGTCCTCTTCCTCGTCGATGTAGTGGCCCCTGCGGCCTGGGCGAGGGTCGGCGGCGAGCCGGGGAGGGAAAGTGAGAAGGGGCGGGCCTTCTCAGAGGGATCGTAGTCCCCCCGCCTTCTGAGAGGTCGTCTAAGCCGTGCCCGAAGACGCCGCAAGGGCTTCTGAGAAGTTCCACCACCTTCTGAGAAGGCCTCCTCCTTCTCACGTCCACCCCTCGCTCGCCGCCGCAAGGGGGGGAGGGGAAGGCGCAAACACGGCGGGGAACGAGGGCGACGGATGGGGGGAAAGAAGGACTATGGCGACGGCGACAACGTCCACGTCCTCGACCTGTTTCTCCCCCACCCTCCTCTTCCCCTCGCAACCCTCTCCAGAGATTACCCCTTCCCTGTACTCCCCCGCTTTCCTCGGCATCATCCCTTCTCCTCTTGCGGCGACGACGACGGACAATGACGACGAAGACGAGGACGAGGACGACTGACACGGGCACGGGCACGGGCACGGGCACGATCACGGACGACGACGACGACGACGAAGCCAGCACCACGAGATCGCCCACCTCGGCCCGCATCTGACCCAAAGAGCCCCACAAAGTTCGACCCTCGATCGACAACAACGACGACGACGACGCCGGCGGCGACGGCGGGGGCGGCGGTGCGCCATTATGACTTCTTGCGCACGTGTCAGGGCACTGCTTCCACACCCGTTTGCATGCGCATCGTCAGTGATCAGGCTGGCTCAGGAGAGTCCTGCAAGGGACGACACCTTGCTGTGATCCGACCTGTTTGATCGTCCATCTTGGTCGTTGTGACCTCGCTCACCTCACTTCGTGCACCGCGCCCCGCGATGAGCGCCCCGCGGCTACCCTCGCGCCTTCGCGACGCCCCCTGGAGAATGGCAGCCCTCAGCGCGGAACGCGATGAACTCCACGCCCCAGCGGGCGACCCGATTCATCGTTCCCCGACCGAGATCTAAGGAACGGCCCCAAAACCCTAATCCCTCGTGAACCCACAGCGGGCCTTATGTCAGCGTCTTGACTGTACATCCACCGTGCCCAGGTCGTTTCTCCCTCCTCCCTGAAGGGCAAGGGTATGGGTAGACCAGCTCAGGGTAGGGGAAACGCCGACCTCGAATCCGCGATGCATTGCCGATAGGTCGGTGACAGGCCCCTGGGTAGCGAGTCCGCACGTTCTTGGGCGGCTTGGGCAATTGGGCCCCTGTCGGGGATCAATGGGCGATTGGGGGTCGATGAGTTCCCCCCTGGGCATAAGTCTCCCCAATAACATTGCCCCTTCGATCATCGGCTCGCCGGCGGCAAATCGGGAGGATCCGGGCAAGCCCAGAACGCTCTCGGCGAGGCGCAGCTGCTGGAGAACATCCCGAGGCTCCAAAGCTGCCGACAACAGACGAAACTGTCGGAGAATCTCGGGAGCGTCCCTCTTCTCGTATAACCGCTCCACATCCATACTGGTTTGACCCGGGCTCCTCTGGCCGACTGACACCCCTAGATCGGGATGTAGGCGGATCTAGTCGGGCTTCGAGGGGCCCACCGCCAACTGGAGTGATAGGATAGTGGGGCCGAAATGCCATGGCCCGAGGGGGATGGGAATGAACAGAGTCAGTGAGCATCGAGTCGGCACATCGAATCGAACCGACATGTGCATCGGATCGGGCTGCATCGGCACAGAATCGAAATCGAACCAGATCGGCTGCGCCAGGATGCACAACACCGCCTGTGTAGATATCGGGCCGCATCGGATCGTAGGAATATCGAAAACCAATCGGATCGGGCCGACTGGAATCGTTATCGAATCGGATCGGAATGTGCCCTGATAGCTTAAAAAAAATACTGAGCCTACCCTCACGAACGGCGAACATATCCGTATCCGCGCCCTGGCGGTCTGGATTCCGGGGCGCGATCCCGCAGATGCGCGGTCATACGGATACGTCCCGTGCGGGGAATCCGTGAAACAGCGCCCCGTACCCGCGGGGTCGCGGCCCAAAGACCTGGCCCGCGAGGCCGCGGATGCGGATATGGCATTCGCCCAGGAAAAGCGGCGTCCTCTGAGAGAGTCCTCTGTGCTCGATTCTCAAAGGTCGGTTCTCCGCTCCGCTCCGGCCAGCGGCCCTCGGACCCCGATCCTCGATGATCGAGGGCCGAAGTCGATATATCCCCCCCCTCCCCTCATGTGGCAACTCATGGGAGCCTCCCATACCACCTTGTTGGCTCTTGCGAATCGTCGCTAATCGACGTCACTCGACGCTAATCGACGCGAAATCGACCTAGATCGGCGCTAGTCGTCGCTGATCGACGCTGAATCGGCCCTATCTCATCCTCTACCAGACGCCAACCGACGCGAATGCACTCCAGAGACGGGGCTGCGAGGGCACAGCAGGCTCCCATGATTTGCTACCGAACGAGTGGAAGTAGCTGGAGGTGCAGGCACACAGGCGAAGCTGCGCACGCGCAGAGAAGCACGCGCGGGCACATCCCGCCGCCGCTCCCCCCGGCCCCTCGGAGGCAGGCCTCGCCTTCGTCTAACCAGCCTCGATCTGCTCCCCTGTCCCTACACGTATGTCGGAAGAAGCAGGTAAAGGCATGATATAGGCGGCTAAAGTAGACTGGGCCCAGGCCCTCCCAGAAAATAGCCACACACAGCAAAAACAAATCGGGTTCTTGAAGTAGGAAGGCGCTTGAAATAGATTGGGATCTGGGGATCCACAAAGACCTACTTTCAATGACTGGCGTGCATCCTTCTCCTGTACCATGCCCCCATGATTTGCTACCGAGCTCTCCTGTACCAGGCCCCCCCGAGGGGCGGCCGCAAGCGTGCGGGGCCTCGGCCGCGCGCGTTGCCGCGCGACCACTCCTCCGCTCCTGTGGCGGCGCGCCGCCCCGGCCAGACAACCAGCCCCGAGCCCATGACGCTCTGGATGGACCGTGTGTGCGACCAGGCTGGCCCCTTGCGTGGCACACACTCCATAATGAGAGTGGTAATGCTACTGATGGGCAGTAGCGGCAACATCATAGCCATGATAAGAGCACTTGCAGCCGTACCAGACATGGTAGCGATATGGTAAGACTAATAAGAAACAACAGGGACGATAAACACGTGAGTGTGTTAATGATACTTCGACGAGGACTAAGGATAACATAACTAAACGGTAGTAATACACATGATGTACTGGCAACTCTCAGAGTATAAGAGCAATGGAAGGGCACATGGGTAAGAATGCACATGAAAGAGACAATGGGCGTCGACCCCGAGACAGGCGGGGCGGCTGGGCTCCGGGCGGCCGGCTGGCGCTGCCCCGCGGGCCGCGGAAGCGCGAGGACTTCTCCCGCGCCACCTCTGGGCTGAGGGCGCAGGGCACGTCTGCGTTGGGGCCCCTGGGCCGTGGTCCTCCCCCTCTTCTTTCTCCTCCTCCTCCTCCTCCTCGTCTTCTTCTCCTCATCCTCTTCTTCTTCCTCCTTCCTCCTCCTGCTCTTCACCATCATTATCCCTTTCTATCTCCTCCTCTTTCCATTAGCCCTTCTCTTCCTCTTCTTCCTGCTACACCATCCCTTTTCCTTAGAGTAACCGTTCCCTCTCGCACCATCCAATAGGTTGAGAGTTAGGCGGGCGGGCCCGGCGATTCGCCTGAGAGTTCCTGACCGTTCGAGATCCTCAAGTTTGAAATCTGCAACAACTTCAAGGGTGGAGGGCGGGTGATTTTCAAAAAATAGTCAGCGATTTAGCGTCGCGCATATTCGTCTAAAGAGCCTGCAACCGCTACAAAGATGGAGGGCAATCCGTTTTCAAAATGTGGCTCTCGCCTGAGCGCCGCGCACCTTCGTATTAGACAAGTCTGCTACACCTGAGGTCTCCATTAGGTCGCAGGCTGACGGCAGGGTGCACTTACCAAACGCAGTCTGGCGGGGCTGTCTTGGAGGGGTGGAAGTGGCACCAAACCTGGTGAATAACGTTGTGCTCCGATGCCCTGGACAGGTGGGAGGGGCACGAAACCTGGCCAGTAAGATGGTTCTGCGACACCCTGCCGCGGTCTGGCGGTGCCTCCGTGGAGGAGTAAGAAGGGTAAAAGCCTTGCAAATGCAAATAGTACTGTACTCGAATATCCTGTCCACCCTGGCGGGGCCTTCCTGGAGGGGTGGGAAGGGGCAAAACCCTTGCAAACAGTTTGGTGCTCGACTGCCCTGCCTGCCATGGCGGTGCCTCCCTGGACGGGTGGGGCGGGGGGGGGGGCACGGAACCTTTTAATGCTCGAATGCCCTGGCGGGGGATCCCTGCAAAAGAAAGAAGGCCGTGAACCTTTGCAAAAGCAAGTCCCCTGGTCGTCCTCGAATGCCCCGCGCGCCCTGGCGAGACCTCCCTGGAAGAGCAGTAAAGGCACGAAACTTTGTAAATAGTTCGGTACACAGCCCGCCCTTGCGGGGCCTCCTTGGAAAGGTGGGGAGCGGGCAAAACACCTTGCAAGCGGCATGATGCTAGAATACCCGCCCGCCCTGACGTGGCCTCTCTAGAGGAGTGGGAGGCGCGCGGACGCTTGCACGTAGCATTGGACTCGAATGCCCTGCCCGCTCTGGCGGCACCTCCCTAAAAGATTACGGGGGGGCACGCAACAATGCACATACCATGATACTCGATTGCCGTGCCCGCCCTGGCGGGGCCTCCCTTTAAGGGGTGGGACGGCAAGAAGCCTTGCAAACAGCATGCTGCCCGAACGCCCTGCCTGCCCAGACTGGACCTCCCTCGAGTTGGGGGCGCACGAATGCTTGAACTTGACATGGTGCCCGAATGCCCTGCCCGCTCTGGCAGGGCCTTCCTGTATGGGGGTGGCACGACCAGTAGAAGTAGGAATACACAGGTAGTGAAAAGTAATATCAGTAGTAGTAGTGGCATAGTGGTAGTAGTAGTAGTACCAGCACCAGAAGTAGTAGTAGTAGTAGTAGTAGTAGTAGTAGTAGTAGAAGAAGACGTGGGACTAGTACTAGTACTAGTACTAGTAGCAGTATTCGTAGTAGCAGTAGTAGTAGTAGTAGTAGTAGTAGTAGTGGTAGTAGTGGTGGTAGTAGTAGTAGTAGCAGTAGTAGCAGTACGGCTACTAGTAGTAGTAGTAGTACATGTGGCAATCGCAGTAGAAGTAGTACCAGTAGCAGCAGTAGCAGTAGGAGCCATAGTAGTAGCTTCAGACATAAACAAGTAGTAGAATTAGTAGTAGTAGTATTCGTAATAGTAGGACTAGTAGTCGTAGAAGTAGTAGTAGTAGTAGTAGTAGTAGTAGTAGTAGTACACTTAATGATAAACGTAACAGTCATGGTCATATAAGTAGTAGCCGTAATATTAGTAGTGCTAGTAGTAGTAGTAGTAGTAGTAGTAGTAGTAGTAGTAGTAGTAGTAGTAGTAGTAGTAATAGTAGCATCAGTAGCAGTACTAGTAGTAGTAATAGTAGTAGTAGTAGTCGTAGTTGTAGTGGTAGTCTCAGTCAGAAGAATCGGCGTCGCCGTAGTCGTAGTCGTAGTGGTAATCATAGACGTAGCAACCGCCACCGTCGTAGTCGTAGTCGTAGACATGATAATTCTGGACGCAAGAGAAGCAGTAATAGTAGTAGCGATAAAAGAAGAGCCACCGTAATGATAAGTGTACTAGCCGTAGTAGCAGTACGGCTAGTAGTAGTAGTAGTAGTAGTAGTACATGTGGCAGTCGCAGTAGAAGTAGTACCAGTTGCAGCAGTAGCAGTAGGAGCCATAGTAGTAGCTTCAGACATAAACAAGTAGTAGAATTAGTAGTAGTAGTAGTATTCGTAATAGTAGGACTAGTAGTCGTAGAAGTAGTAGTAGTAGTAGTAGTGGTAGTAGTAGTAGTAGTAGTAGTAGTAGTAGTAGTACACTTAATGATAAACGTAGCAGTCATGGTCATATAAGTAGTAGCCGTAATATTAGTAGTGCTAGTAGTCGTGGTAGTAGCCGTAGTAGCAGTAGTAGTGGTAGTAGTAGTAGTAGTAGTAGTAGTAGTAGTAGTAATAGTAGCATCAGTAGCAGTACTAGTAGTAGTAATAGTAGTAGTAGTAGTCGTAGTTGTAGTGGTAGTCTCAGTCAGAAGAATCGGCGTCGCCGTAGTCGTAGTCGTAGTGGTAATCATAGACGTAGCAATCGCCACCGTCGTAGTCGTAGTCGTAGACATGATAATTCTGGACGCAAAAGAAGCAGTAATACTAGTAGCGATAAAAGAAGAGCCACCGTAATGATAAGTGTACTAGCCGTAATCTCAATACTGGTAGAAACATGGCTGTGGTAAAGCACCAACAAACGTAATTAGTAAAAACGACAAGAATAAAAACAACAGAAGGAATGGAAACCGTAAAACTAGTTGTAGCAGCCGCCGTAATCGTAAGTGTAAGGATAGTCCTAGTAGTAGCCGCCGTCCTCTCAGTCGAAATAAAACCCGTGGTAGTAGTAGTAGTAGTAGTAGTAGTAGTAGTACTCGAAGTGGTAGGAGTAGTGATAGCAGTGATAGCAGTGGCAGTAGCAGTAGTAGTCCTAGTCACAATACAACTAATAGTCGGTGAAAGAGTAGCAATGGCAGTCGTAGTAGTAGTCGTATTAATAGTAGTACTAGTAGTACTAGTAGTAGTAGTAGTAGTAGTAGTAGTAGTAGTAGTAATAGTAGTGGTAGTAGTAGTACTAGAAATAAAGTCGCAATAGTAGTTGCAATCATAGTCGGCGTCGTGACACGTGTAATAGCAAAAGTACGTCGTCAGAACCGTCGTATTAATCGTATTAGTAACAGAATTCGTAGTAGTAACGGTACAAATGGCAATGCCAATAGTATTGGTTCGCGTCGTCGCGGCCGCAATAATAGTAGTAGCAGGGGTAGTGGCAGTAGTAGTAGTAGTAGTAGTAGTAGTAGTAATAGTAGTAGAAGTAGTAGCACACGCCGTAGTAATAGTAAACGTGGCACTGGCGGTCGTATGGCTGATCGTGCCAGTCGTAGTAACAAATGGTCCTTCGGCAATCGCAATAGTGGCAGTAGTCGTGGACGTAGTAGCAGTAGTAGTAACAGCAGGTGTAGCAACAACAGCTGTGATAGTATCGGTAGCGATAACAGCAGAAAAAAATACTGACAACCGCGGGAATAGTAGTAGCACGGATCGTCGAACTATGTGTCGTATTAATAAGTAATAGCACTAGTAGAAGAAGTAGCGGTAGCAGCATTAGTAGCAGTAGTGATAATGCTGGCAGTCAAAAACAATAGTAGTGACGGTGGTGCTGGCGGCCGTGAAGCTAGAGGTAGCACGTGTTGTGGGTAGTGCGTCGCGGGTAGTAAGTAGTAGTGTGCATTAGTGGTCGAAGCAGTCGTAATGAAGGTCGAAATAATAGCAATAGTAAGAGTAGTCGTAGCAGCAGTCGCAGTCTTAAAAGTAGAAATAGCAGCAGTAGTAGTAGTAGTAGTAGTAATAGTAGTAGAAGTAGTAGTTGTAGTAGTAGTAGTAGTAGTAGTAGCAGTAGTAGTAGTAGTAGTAGTAGTAACAGTGGCGGTAGTAGTAAGTGTCGCAGTAACCGTAAGACTAGGAGTAGTAGTAAGAGTAGTAGTAGTAGCAGTAGCAGTAGTAGAAGTAGTAACTACAAAAGTGGATGCAGTCGTAGAAATACTAGTTGTCGTAGAACACATGGTAGTACCGGGGAGAATCGTAGTCCAAACAAATCGTGATATAGTCGCCGTTGTCGTCGTAGCAGGAGTAGTCGTAGTATTACCCGTAGGAGTAGTAGTAGTAGTAGTAGTAGTAGTAGTAGTAGTAGCAGTAGTAGTAGTAGTCGTAGTAGTAGTCGCCGTGGTATGAGCAGTAGCCCTAGCAGTAGTAGCAGCACTTGTGATAGCAATCGTAGTAGTAGTAATAGTAGTAGTAGTAGTAGTAGTAGTCGTAGTAGCCGTGGTGGTCGTACCTGTAAGGATAGTGGTACACGTAGTAGCAGCAAGGATGGTACTACTAGTAATAGTAATCGTAATGGTACACGTAGTAATAGTAGTAGTAGCAACAAAACCAATAATGAAAATAGGCGCGTCAACGTCGTAAAAGTCGTATCAGTCGCCGTCGTAATCGTACGAGAAGCCGCCGTGAGAATGAAACAAAGCATTCGTAGTCTAGCCCGGCTAGAGGTAATCGTATAAGTACAAATCCAAGTGGCATTCGTGGTAGTAGTAGTAGTCGTAGAAGTAGTGCCAGTCCACGTACCAATAATAGTAGTACTAGCAGTAGTAGTAATAGAAATAATAATAATCGTAGCAGTAGTAGTTATAGTAGTGGTAGTGGTAGTAGTACTACCAGTAGTAGTATCATTAGCAGTAGCAGAA